ACACTTAACGATAGTCACATACACATAAATATATATATCATGTAAATAGCATAATCACCTTCATTCTATGTACTGAAGATGGCATAAGCATGCTGAAACATGTTTACGATAAAAAACTCGTCGTTCATTTAAAATGTCTTGTAAATGTATATATTTTTTTAACATAAATTTAACTTCATAATATAACAATGGTATTATTTTTAAAAATGAAACATTTGATTTTTAGTAGCATATTCATTTATATACATTGTGTAATTAGAATTCATATCAACTCTAGGTTTGTATTGATTATAGTAAAAAACACAATCATGTCCACCAATATGTCCAACACGACAAGAAATATAACCATTTTTTCCAATTACTGAACATGGTTTTTGGTATAAAGTTTTCCCGTCATGTAATCTCCAAAAATTACGAATATAAAATTATAAAATATTATTAATTCTCAATTTATTTTTATTCTTTTTACGGCTTTTTTGGCACTTACTCTTTTTTGTTTCTTGCCTTTTTTATCATTTAATGTTATAGTAGTATACAGAGCGTTGCCGCTGGCGCACTTCACCTTGAGAAAGCGTCATTTCTGGCGCAACTCACAGTTTGAGAAGGAGTATACACAAGTCTAAGCACCCCAGCCCTAGTTCGAGTATGTGGTTCACATAGTAAGCACATAGTAAGCACATAGTAAGCACATATATCGGCACAAAAATCACAAGACAGCGAAGGCCAAACCCTGGATAACGGCAGGAGCCAAAGACGGCCGGCCCACCCCCCGCGCCTACGTGGCCGGCTGTCGGGGGTCTATTATTTAGAGAGATACTCTCATAGGGTATATCCAAACGTTCGACAGCCATGAGGCAGGGCAAGACCAAGTGTGTGTGGTATTTACCCGGAAAACTCACCACATGTGGGCTACGCTCCATAGGTGAATACTGCGGACTTCATATGAGGCGGTTAAGGGAAGGCGGGTGACTTCCACAACCATGTCGTACGTATGGCGTCGGAACACAGGCAGAAACTATCCTTTGTCAAGCCTGCGTTGCGGATAGGGTGCATCATAAGCTCGTTTATAAACAGAAACAAGCAAGAAAGAGATTTGCTAAAGTACTCGCCGAATTAATTTTGACATTTTGAATTAATTTCGATTTAGAGAATTATCTCGCGTAGTGTATAACGTTTGTGGGGAGAAACAAGCAAGAAAGAGATTTGCTAGAGTACTCGCCGAATTAAATATCGGCATTTGATTTTATTTCGATTTAGAGATTTATCTCGCGTAGGGTATAGAACTAAAATTTGCGACACTTGAGATGGATGTTATTGTTAAGGATCTTATACAATTATATAAACAAGGTGTGATCAGCGGAGACGCGATGCACGACTCTCTTGAGGCTCTTCAAACGCCCACGCCAAGAAATGTCACTCCGCCTATCCCCAAACCGCGCAAGCGCAGGCCTATCCCCAAGCCTTCAGCTATCATCTGAGAGCCTGGAAAATGCAGGTGCCGAAAGGGACACCCCTCCAAACGTGACTTGATGGTTTTCCTCAAAACGCCCAGCCCTACATCAAACGCAAACTCGATGAAGAGCTACTAGCTCTACGAGGAGTTAAGGCCCTGTCTACACGTATCCGGATAAATTTGAAAATGCAAAACTTTTTTTACGGTATTAAAAACTTCCGCGTCCACACGTATCGTTTTCGGATCGTTTTCGCCCGTCCACACGTATCCGGATAAATTTGACAACACTGATAAAATCCCATTTGAGCATGCGCTTCAGACAAGATGAGCCTGCAAATAACGTGTACGTATATGTGCTTTCTTGACACTTGACATTCTGCGCATTGCTATTAAATACAATTCAAAAATTATGTCAAACGCATTAGAAAATTCGTCCAAATCCAAGAAGAGCAAAACCGAAAACTTTGTGTGGACGGACGATGAAGTGGAGCTCCTTTTAAACGTTGTTCTTGAGTACAAAACTGCAAGAACTGCGGAGAATGTTGACTGGGAGACATGCCACTCTAAATATTCTGATATTTAGAATTTATTCCTCGCTCAGTATCCATCTGAACATGATGCAGCCCAAATTGAAAAAGAGTTTCCCCACCAGAATAATGAAGTCAATAAGTCAATTATTACTTCAAAACTAAAAGCTATCAGACTCAAATTCCGCGCTGCTGTTGATTGTGGTAAGAAAAGTGGGCATGGAAGAGTTGTGCTGATTTATTTCGAGGAATGTCAGGAAATATGGGGAGGCTCACCAGCTACGACTACAATGGCATCTGGAATAGAGACGCAAGAAATTCAACAAGAGTTTGACTCAAGTTTAATATGTCCCAGTCCCGCCAACTCTATTGGTACACCCATAGCTTCCTCAACATCCAGCAGCCCTCATACCGAAATACCTACTCTTGACGATGAAGAAAATGAACGAAACTGTGTTTCTGAACGAAGAGAATTTTTAAATTCTAAATTGAAGAATTATAGACAAAACAGATTAAAGAGAAAGTTATTAACAGACGAACAACTCCTGAATGCCATGCAAGAAGATCTTGAAATAAAAAAACATCTTCTTGAAAAGATGGACGAAGTGGATAAGCAGCAGGCTACCCAAATGAAGAAATTCTCGCAAAATATGGAACAACTTACTGGGTGTATTGTGGAAGGTTTTTCTATGCTTCGCCAAGTAATGCTGCATCCTCAACCATTACCTCCCCAATTTGCAACTCCGCTTACTGGTTACAACAGCAACTGGGACAGACCACAGGCTGCACAACCCATGAATATAAACAGTTGGAACAGACCACAGGCTGCACAACCCATGAATGTAGAAAATAGCACATTGCACTTTAGTCAGTTTACAAATGAAAATTTTTAATATAATATGCATTACTGAAATGAACATAGAGTGATATGTATATTTTATAAGGTTGTAGTTACTTAGTAACAAATATTGCATAGTGAGATGAAAATAGTTTGGGTTAAAATAAAAAATAGGTTTTGTTAAATCATTGTTCATTGAAGTTTTGGTTTGTCTATGGATCAAAGTACCTTGTCAATATCCTTCTGATTTTTTTACCTTCAGCTTCATTACAGTCAGTTCTGAATTTATTGTTGGCAATAACTGGCTGAAATTGTTTGTCATACTCGACAGAAGCAGTGACCTTTTCTTCTGCAATTCTTTCACCACTAATTTCACAAAAATTATGTAGTACAAAGCATGCATACACCACAAAAGGTAGCTCATCAAGATTAATATCCATTGGACGCTTTAAAGCTGCAAAACGAGCTTTGAGTCTACCAAAAGCACATTCAATAACCATCCTTGATTGGCACAAAGTCATACCGAAATACTGTTCCTGCTGATTAGACCCACCATTTGAATACTCCTTCATCAAGTACGGCATTAATGGATATGCAGGGTCGCCTAATATAAAAATAGGAACTGGATCTTCATCAGTTAAAATCTTGCGTTGACATGGTGGTATCTTGCCATTCTTCAACAATTGGTTTAGGCTGGAATTTGAAAACACCCTTGCATCATGCACACTTCCAGGCCATTTCACAACCACATCCATAAAACAGTATTTATGGTCACATATAGCTTGCACATTCAAACTGTAAGTACCTTTTCGGTTAATATAGTCAGTAGGATTTTGTCGTGGCTGCTTTATTGGAATGTGTGTTCCATCAATTGCACCCAAGCACTGTGGAAAACCATGTGCTCTGTAAAAATTGTTCACTTTTTCTTGCACATTCTCTTCAGTAAATGGCAATGTTACATACTTTGGTCCAAGGTGTATTGTTATTGCCTTGCATACCTTTCTCACAATTTTGGAAACGGTCTGTCGAGAAATTCCAAACGCATTTGCAGTCTTTCTCATATGACCTTCATCACTGAGATAATATAGTGTGATAGCAACTTGGGTCAACACATCAACAGGAAATCTCATGATAGTTTTTTCCCCTTGGATGTAGGGTCTTAATTCTTCGGCTAGTCTGTCAATGGAAACTCGAGACATTCTAAAATTTTCTCGCCATTCTTCTGGGACTACTAGTTCACGTATAAAACCGTTCCACCAAGCATTTGTTCTTCCAGGTCGAATCCAAAATCTTCGTTTTTTCCTTTGACGCTTCTTGCCTAACCGCTTGACAATCCCCCTTCCGGTACCAAGCAACGAAAGCTGACGAATAATATTCATACGATTTCGAATATATTCTCCGTGAGAATTCAACACCGCATTATAAAGCTGGACGCATGATATTATGCTTGAAATAAGGCAAATCAATATCGCAACAACCTTTCGTGTTTCCGCCATGTTTGACCAAATAATAGTTATACGTCATCGTTTCTGTATTTTTACGGTTTCACCCGTCCACACGAGACTAATTTTTTCCGTTTTCCAAAAATTCCACTCTGGACAGCGTTTTCAAAAGTATACGGTTTGTGTGGGCGTTTTATCCGGATACGTGTGGACGGAACGTACATCCGTAAAAAAAGTTTTGCGTTTTCAAATTTATCCGGATACGTGTAGACAGGGCCTAAGTTGCAGTTGGCTGTAGAGGTTGAGCTTCTGAAGGATGAAGCAAACGGTACTTCAAGCACCAGTGTTCCGGACAAAGCAGATCACGCTGCTACAGGCGCATTAGATTCCGCAAGCCCTACATGAAGCCATCCCAACAATCCTGTAGAGATTGAAAAAGTTCACTTGGGAAGGGTCTGAGTGGATAGTGGATCGTGTCAAAACACTCTGGCTTGACATCGCTCACTACCAGCCTTTACGTGGAGGCTCATACCTTCCTCTCCCCACCGCGGTCAAGAATAAGAAGGCGATCGTCAACGTGAAAAATAAAGACGACGACTGCCTCCGCTGGTCTCTAAGGGCTGCGCTGTTTCCTGCAGCCAAAGACCCGCAACGGCCGGGCAAGTATCTCACTGAAGACGGCCTTGAGTTTGCGGGAGTGAGCGCACCCACACCGCGCTCCCAGCTCAAACGAGTAGATCGTCAGAACGACCTTGCTATCAACGTGTATGGTTGGGAAGGCGGCGTCGTTCCTTGCCGTCTGAGCAAAGTAAAGAGAGCTCGCAAGACTGTGAATCTCTTCCTTGTCTCGGATTTGAAAAACCCCGAGAAACACCACTACACATGGATCAAGAACTTCAACTGCCTTCTCAACTAGAGTGGCCACCATCAGCTGCACTTCTGTGAGCATTGTCTTCACGGCTTCACCAGGCAGGATTTGCTGGAAGAGCATAAGCCTGAATGTCGAGGCATCAACCAGGCTGCGGTTGCCATCAGAATGCCAACCCCGGAAAAAAACGACAAAATCCGCTTTGAGAACTACCACAAGCAGCTCAAGATGATGAGATAAATCTCTAAATCCTGGAACTGCTCCAAGAAGAAGAGTGTAAGATCAAGATGGTGTTGGCTAACCCCAAGCCTATGCACATGACAGGAAAGGACTGGGGAGGCCACAAGAAAGCCACAAACTGCCACATGTGCGGCAAGCTCCTCGAAGGCGATTCCGTGCGAGACCACTGCCACATTACTGGCAAGTACCGAGGTGCGGCCCACAATGAGTGCAACCTGAATTTGCGGCTCAGCCCGAAGACGACAACCACACCGGTTGTCTTTCACTACCTGCGGGGCTTCGACAGCGACTTCATAATACAGACTATTGCAGAGACTGAAGGGAAGGGCACCTGCATCCCTAACAACGCTGAGAAATACATCTCGTTCAGTATCAGCCGCTTCGATTTATCAACAGCGCCCAGTTCATGCTCTCAAGCCTGGATGGCTTGGTGAAAGCCAGCGACCCGGGACGCTCTTCTTAAGCACACAGGGGTGGAGCTCGAGCTGCTCACCAACATATGCATGCATCTCGTCATCGAGAAGGGCCTGCATGGCGGCATCAGCATTGCCAGCAGGCGCTTCGCCAAGACCAACAACCCCAAGGTGCCAGACTACAATCCGGGGAAGCCCCAAAAATGGATCCCGTACTACGACGCCAACAACCTGTATGGCTAGGCGATGTCGCAGCTGCTGCCAACAGGCACGTTCGAGTGGGTCGCCCAACAGGATGCGAAAGCGGCCCTGATCCAGACTGTAGAGGCAGAGAAGGGCTACATTCTCTAAGTCGAACTGGAGTACCCAGAAGAGCTGCATGACGAGCACAATGCATATTCCTTAGCGCCGGAGCGCCTGAAGGTCGACAACGCGTGGATGTCCGATTACCAGCAAAATCTCCTCAAACAAATGTATGGGGGTGCGTCTCACGAGGTCGAAAAGCTGGTCCGCAATCTGCGCGACAAGACCCGATACGTCCTGCACTATCGGAATTTGCAGCTTGGCATGCGCCTGAGAAAGATCCACAGGGCACTCACTTCAATCAAAGCCCATGGATGGAGCCCTACATCCGGAAAAACACCGAACTCCTGAAGAAGGCAAAGAGTGACTTTGAAGTCAACCTCTACAAGCTGCTGAACAACAGCGCCTTTGCCAAGACGATGGAGAACCTCCGAAAGCGTGTCGATGTGAAGCTGCTCCGGCTAAGTGAGACCGAGAGACTCCGCAAACCTATTGCCAAGCCGACATTCAATCGGCATGTCATCTTTGGCGATGCGGGAGACCTCGCAGCCGTTCACATGAATAAAAGCAGTCTGCTGCTCAACCGGCCGGTCTTCATGGGCATAAGCGTTCTCGACCTCTCGAAGTATCTATTGTACGACTGGTACTACAACCATCTCAAGGTGCAGTAAGGG